AAAAAAAAAAAAAACAATCAGCCGAACATAGTACCTCCTCCTTTTTTTGAAGTCGGTAAAAATAAAAGTTCGTTTCGTGACTATATTATTTTCTCCTAATTTATTCAAATATTAACTATACTCTAACTCACTTTCCCGTTTATAATATTATAGTAATTCTTACTTAATATTATAAATCGGAAAGCGAGTTTGTTTGTTTGTTCTGCTTTCACGCCGTAACTACTAAACCGATTGCTTTGAATTTTGAATGTACAGTTAGAAGTCTGGATTGAATAATAGGGTACTATTTATCCCGGAAAAAATTGATATTCTCGAGGGAAAACGAAATTATTGGTATAGAAGGCGCTGTGTGTATTGGCATATGTCGCATAGGCTACTTTTTATCCTTTTGTGATGCGAGCGAAGCCGCGGGTAAAAGCTAGTTATAAATATTTGCAAAAAAAGATGCAAACTAATCTCACAGATCTCGTTTGAGCACCAATCTCGTGAGATTTGCATTCCTTAGTTCAGGATTTTCAGAGAGCGTCAAAAATAGATGGTAATGAAGAAAAACTTATAAATATTTATTTTCTTTAATAAGATATGTTTATTTTAAACATTTTATAAATAAACTGTGCATAATTTCTGAATGCATCTTCTTCAACGAAGCTTTCGACTGACAACCAGCACATCAAATTACCCGAAAATGTCACATCTCTTCATTCGATTTTTAACTCTATAGCAAACGAAGTAAGGTTAATAATTGAATATCAGATTGGTGTATCTCGATGTGCGCTTGACTCATACAAAGGTTTTTGACCGGACTGGCTGAATAATCTTAATTCCTTTGCCCTGACTGTTTTGGCGCGAAACGACGCCATCTTTAATTTTCTTTTTGTTTTTAAACACGAGTGAATTTGTGTAATTTGAAAATAAGTACTTGATATTTAAGTACTTTTACTAAGTTAAACATAATTTATTTCAGATTTTCATTACTATAAAATATTTAAAAATACATACTTTTCATGAGTTATTTTTAAGATATTTATACCTACCTTTTTATTTTTATATACTTTTTAAGGAATAAGTACTCTATTTGACGCAAATAATTATGCATGATACATAGGCCAAATGTATTGCCGGGGCTCCGGCTCGAAGAGCAGGAGTAGGAACGGAATGGGTTTTAGTCAGTAAGAGTCTGACACTCCCTCTCGCCTAACCCAAGCCGGTAGAAGTCAAAGTCAAAGATAAAAATCATTTATTTCAATTAGACCAGGAAAGCACTTTTGAACGTCAACAAAAAAAAATTTGAAGTTGTTGTGTATCTGTGGTATACTCTATGGTCATAGTATAGTCTATGGTGATAGATTATATATGTGCGTGGCGGAGCCCGCAAATTTGTAAAACAATTGAAGACGAATAAATGTGTGTGTCGATAACCTTCTCCCTTTTTACATATATTTCGTTTGCTTAAATAACATACTTAACAAATGTGAAGCTAGTTGCTCATTCCAAAGTGTAGATTCCTATGGAGATGAACGAGCAAGAAACTCCATAGGTTACTCTTTTCCAATCAGGTTCCCAATACCTTTACAATTCATTGGATGATATTCCCTCCCAAAAAATTGACATAAGTGACAGAGCCAGTTACAGACGCCGTGCTAATGCTAAGAATTTTAGATTTCTTCTCCAAAGCCATGAAGTAGGCTACCGTGGTTTAAAGCCAAAGCAAACCCGTTAGTTAGCATCGTTTGTACCTCTATAATATAGTAGATATTACCTCTAGTAGCAAATTATGTTTGTTTGTTAGGAGTTATCTTGGAAACTGCTAAACCGATTATGATGGTTGTAACATTTAGGTGGTCGCAAGTACGACTGCCGGGCAAGGGGCCTCGGGTTCAATTGCCAGGTCGGGCAAAGTATTACTGGGTTTTAAAAAAATGCCGGGTATCCATGGGCGGCGCTGATCGCTTACAATCAGGTGATCCGTCTGCTCGTTTGCCTCCTATACATAAAAAAGTATAATTTACAACATCGTTTATTACTACAAGTAAAGCCACGTTCGGAAGCTAGTTAAGCAATAATGTTTTACTATAACTAAGTAATTACGGTAATCTTATATAATTGAAGTTCCGATAACGAATCATATTGGAAACTACGTATAATAAGGTCTTACAGCCGTACTCCGAGACATTTTGGCTCTGACAAAGTATTACTGGGTTTTAAAAAAAAATCTCAGTAGTAGCACGGAGTCTGGATTGTGCCCGGTATATGGTAATAGGCTCACCCCCTATTACATGGGCCTCATAACATAAATAGTGAAAACTGGGTGTTACTTCTGTGTGGGGATAAAAGGCGTGATGTTACAAAGACATTTAGGCTCTGTGAATATACACAATAAGACTATAACATAGTAAAACCACGCTTGCGTTGTGTTTCGTCGTGTGAGTGAGGTTACCGGAGGCCCAATTACCTTCCCCTCCCTAGTCTCCCGAATCCTCCATAATCCTCAAATTCCTAATCCCCAAAAAGCCGATAACGTACTTGTAACGCCTCTGGTGTTCCAGGTGTCTATGGGCGACGCTGGTTGCTTACCATCAGGTGATCCGTCTGCTCGTTTACCGGCTTCTGCTATAAAAAACATAAACTATTCCCTAGTAACAAGTTTGTTCCGAAAATCTTTGCTAAGAACTGGGCTTTTTTTTTTTTAATGGGGGAAAATCATCGAATGACTGCTCCCGCCTGGGTGAGGCGGGAGGGAGTGTCAGACTCTTACTGACTAAAAACCACCCCGTTCCTTCTCCTGCACGTCGAGTCGGAGCCCCGGTTACCCGTTAGGTTCTCCGCGACTCCGAATCGGCATCGGCCGTATTAAGCCCCATCTGTGGTGGTCTGATGGCTCTTTGAGGCGCGCGCGGAACGCGACGCGCCGTACGCTCGGGTCTGTTTCTGGTCGGACGTATAGTGGTTTATTTATTTTAGTGCAGGTATATATTATTTGTTTGGTATGTAGGTGTAAGTAGTATTATTATGTATGTAGTGGTTTGATTATTATTGTACACTGGAAAACCCCTTTTTTCCCAGCTCCTGATTACTGGCTCCATTCAAAGGTTGTCTGTAAGAAATCGCATTCTGCGATAAGACCGCCCATTTTACACACTTTTTTTATGTTTATTTTTCTCTGTATGTTTTTTATGGTGCACAATAAAGTGTAAATAAATAATCACATTGTTTTTTTTTATTTATTTTTCTACATTTTTATCATGTTAAAAGCTCATAAAAATATCTATAATTTTGACTGTACAAATTATAGAATTGCATGTTTAATATCGAAATACTCAAACGCTACTTTTAAATCAAGCTTAACTATAGTTCTGTCTCAACAAATTCTTTGTGAAATGACAGAGATGGCACGATATTTAAGTACAAATAAAAATTGATTAGCCTTTCAGTATTCGGTTATAAATATTCTTAAACATTAGAATTCCGTTTAAAAAAATGTTCCAACTTCTTACTGGCACTTAAACCTGTCATAGAAAACAGGTGATCTAAAACGAGTTTCTTTAAAGTAGGTCGCATACATACAAATACATACACACTAATTTCTAAAGAAATTAGTGCTAGCCTACCCCTGATGACTCAGATACGCTTGCATGTGCAAAATTCAACCGATATACAAGAGTAGAAAATAAGTGCTGCTATTTCCGAAGCCGTAACACGAAACTGCATGACGGACCACAGTCTCACAACGACTCACACTCGCGCGGACGCGACACCGAACATAAATAACCTCTTTATTTAATCTGTGCACTGTCGATAGCCTATTTTTTTTTCTATTGACTTTGTAACGAGCTGTCAGATTGTAATTTTCCCGCGTAATTGAATGAGGTTATAATTTTTTTTTGTGTTTGTAAACAATCCGAGTTTTATTAATGTGTTTTTAAGTGGTTTTCTACTAAGCGGAAGTTAGTGAGAAATCAAACGGTTTATACGGTGTTCGTTTGTGATTATAAAGTGATTATTGTGTATTTTTTTGCTTTTAAAAGTATTCCCGCGTCATGTGTTCAAATTTTGAATTCTGAAGGTTGGTAGTGCAGTTGCGTGTTTTTTTTAATGCAACGTTACATTTTTATACAGCCGTACAGGTACATTGCCGATTTCTTTTTAATGTTTCTTTTTTATTTGCCTTTAGAAAGTAGGCAAAGTAGTTATGTATATACAGTGTATTTATTTGTAGTAATATGAAATAGGTATAGATTAAGTTTTAACTGAGTATTACTTAAATTTTGGGATGTTTCTGGAAGTCAACGGAGGAGTCTCATATTCGACAGGACGACTTATCTTCTACGTTTAGTAAAGTATTTAATTTTAAAAGGGTATCACTGAACAGTGAACCTCGCTACCATCAGTTAACTGGACATCTACACTACACGAGTCTCTGTTTACATGTCAACATTAGCTCATGACGATACCAGCGTACGTGTGTCACTGGACAGTGAACCTCGCTACCATCAGTTGACTGGACAATCTCTACATACACGAGTCACTGTTCTCATGTCAACATTAGCTCATGACGATACCAGCGTACGTGTGTCACTGGACAGTGAACCTCGCTACCATCAGTTGACTGGACAATCTCTACACTACACGAGTCACTGTTTACATGTCAACATTAGCTCATGACGATACCAGCGTACGTGTGTCACTGGACAGTGAACCTCGCTACCATCAATTGACTGGACATCTACACTACACGAGTCTCTGTTTACATGTCAACATTAGCTCATGACGATACCAGTGTACGTGTGTCACTGGACAGCGAACCTCGCTACCATCAATTGACTGGACATCTACACTACACGAGTCTCTGGTTACTTGTCAACATTAGCTCATGACGATACCAGCGTACGTGTGTCGCGTTCGATTTTTTAACATTTTGAAGCAGGCTCAATAGGACACCTTTTAGTAGATAATCAATACATAGTATAAAACAAAGTCGCTTTCGCTGTATGTCCGTATGTATGCTTAGATCTTTAAAACTACGCAACGGATTTTGATGCGGTTTTTTTTAATAGATAGAGTGATTCTTAAGGAAGGTTTGTATGTATAATACATGCATATTGCACCCGTGCGAAGCCGGGGCGGGTCGCTAGTATTTAATAAGTTATTAGACCATGTGTCACAGTACCTTTCGTTCATAATTTTCTAATAGACATAGTCAATAGATTTTTCTCATTTGAATATTAACTTTTAAGCTAATAGAAACCTGTTTTCGTTGCGAAAGTTTAGTTTCTCGTAACTATAGTCTCGTAGTTAACGTGTTGTATTTTAATGAGCGAGTATTTATTTATGCTGTAGATATATACTACATATATGACTGCGTCGTTGGCCAAGTGGTCGCAAGTGCGATTGTCGGAATATTACTGATTTTTTTTTTAAATCTCGGTAGTACCACGGAGTCTTGAATAAGGCCTGGTATATGCCAATAGACTCACTCTCTATTACATGGGACTCGTAACATAAATAGTGAAAAGTGGGTGTTACATTATACAGTAGCATTAAGTGTTGTAATGTGCACCTCTGTCTACCACTTCGGGGTTATAAGACGTGATGTTATGTTATGTTATATACTTATTTAACTACATAGCTCTCTCATTCAGGGTGTAAACAGAACACACCCAAAACGTTGACCGAAAACCGACGTGAAGCAACACTTACGTTGTGTTTCGTCGTATGAGTGAGGTTACCGGAGGACCAATTACCCTCCCCTTCCCCGATCTCCCCAATCCCTGAATCCCCAACGATCCTCAAACTCCTAATCCCCAGAAGGCCGGTAACGCACTTGTAACGCCTATGGTGTTCCAGGTGTCCATGGGCGACGCCGATTGCTTACCATCAGGTGATCCGTCTGCTCGTTTACCAGCTTATGCCATAAAAAAAATACAACGTCAGCCTTGAGCAGTTGATTACAACTATTATTACTTCTTATACTATTATATAAAGCGGAAGTTTGTTTTTTTGTTTGTTTGAACGCGCTAATCTCCGTAACTACAAGTCTGATTTGATTAATTCTTTTTGTGTTGGATAGCACATTTATCGAGGATGGTCATAGGCTATAAAACATCACGCTACGACCAATAAGAGCTGGGCAGAGCGTGTGAAACCGTGCGGAAGTAGCTAGTACTGTACAATGGTTGTAGGCTATTGACGACATCCGGAGCTGCGGACTATTTAACGGGTTCCCGCTATATGCAGGAATAGGAACGAGGTGGTGTTTAGTCAGTAAGAGTCTGACACTCCCTCTCCCCTCACTCAAGGCGGGAGAAGTCATTGGATGACTTGCCTCCTCAGCCCATTCGTGCCGAAGCATGCCCCAAACAACTTACCTGCACCTCATCATCAACAGTCTATAAATGCCCACTGCTGAGCAAAGCCTCTTCTCACACGAAGAAGGTTTGAGCATTAATCACCACGCTTGCTCAATGCGGGTTGGCGATTTCAAACTTATAATTAGAAATTATAAGTTCAGGTTTCCTCACGATGTTTTTCCTTCGCCGTTTGTCAGTGGTGTCTAAATAATCTTAGAAAGTACATATAACTCGGAAAAAATCACATTGGTACTTGCCGTTGGTAGGTTTCGAACCCGCACCCTCATGCATGAGAAGCGGGCGTTTAAACCTCCGGACCACCACGACCTGCACCTATGACCAACCAAAAAAGATAGACATTTAGTTTATTGATCTAATACTATAAAGCAATTGACCTCGATTCGATTCTTGACCTTGTTAGTCCTGTTCTCAAAATACTGTTATAAATACCTAACGAAGTATTATAATGCGAATATTCGTTGAATATCTTCGTTTTTAAACGTACGTAATCAAAAATAACGGTAGTACAAGAACAGCTTTTAAACGAATTTTGAGGTTGTCTAGACGAAAAATTCTTAGTAATTCTATGTCTGGAATACGGTAGTTGACATTGACAACTATAGTCAGAATTTTAATTAGATTCCAGATTTGACATTAGCTACTGTCATTTTGTGAAATAATGCTAACACATATAATAGTGTAGTGATGAACACAAAAATCGATAAACAATCAGTGTGTGTGTTTTATAATAAATGTTACAGAAAGTGACAGGATAGCGATAGCGATGACGGCGACAATTTATAACATAAATTATTCCCATAATACATCTATCTGTTTTACTTGTCATGTTCCTTCATGATTACATTTTTTTATTTATTTCACACACAATTATAAAAGAAAAGTCTCAGATCGTTAATTAATCGTCAAAACTAAATTATCGGTTCAGAAATATTTTAATTTCCTGATATACTTAGTTTACGAGAGTAAAATTACAAACGAGAAGAATCGAATTACAAATAGAAGATTGTCAAATCTGGAATCGAATTAAAATTCCGAGTATAGTCAAATTCAATACTTTTATCGATACGTCAAAAACGATACCTGTTCTATGAATTTTGTAGGCAATCCATACTTATGACGTCATCATATTTTCGGTAGCACACTTACATCTAAAAAAAATGCTAGAATAAATCGAAAATTAAGTATATCGGCAAATCAATGAATGAAATTGTATCTATTTTTCAATATTTAATTGGACTGAAAATCAAAATAATTTATTTTTCACCCAGGGAACTACCAAATTGTGTTTGGATGTTTTTTGTGGTATAAGCCGGTAAACAAGCAGACGGATCGCCTGATGGTAAGCAATCGGCGTCGCTTATGGACACCAGAGGCGTTACAAGTACATTACTGGCCTTTTGGGATTAGGAATTTGACGATTGTTGGAGATACAGGGATTGGGAAAATGGGAGGAGGGGTAATTGGGCCTCCGGTAACCTCACTCATGCGATGTGGTATCACTCCGGTCGAGCCAGCCCATTCGTGCCGAAGCATGGCTCTCCCACACTTTAAATATGAACTGAATATGAAATAAAAATGAATATGAACAAAATGGCTCGACTAATTGAAAAAGAGTAACCTATGGAGTTTCTTGCTCGTTCTTCTACATAGGAATCTACACCTTGGAATGAGCAAATAGCTTCACTTTTAATTTTTTGTTGACATTCAAAAGTGCCTTTCTGGAGTAATTGAAATAAATGATTTTGACCTTGACTTTGACTTTGACTTTTCTCAGCAGGAATATTTACGGGAACCGTTATTTTTACATACGTACATAAATAACATCACGCCTTTTATCCTCAAAAAGGTAGGCAGAGGAGCACATTATACCACTGTACAATGTTACACCCACTTTTCACTATTTATGTTATGAGTCCCATGTAATAGGGGGTGAGCCTATTGCCATATACCGGGCACAATTCCAGACTTCATGCTACTACTGGCAATTAAAACCCAATAATACTTTGCCCGACCCGGGAATCGAAACCGAGACCCCTTGCTCGGCAGTCGTACTTGCGACCACTCGGCCAACGAGGCTGCAGTTATTTTTACATTTGATGATGATGCTGAAAAATCCATTAACCAGTGTTTTATCCCACACTAGAAACAATCCAGAAAATTCTCTGGCCTGATTCATGGCATACCCACCTCACGTGTCAAGTAACAATATTACGTAACACAACACCTGTTAAATATAGTTTGGCAACAATCGTTATTTATTTATACCAAATTGTAGCCAAGTACAATGATAATACACAAAGAAAGTACAACTTTCAGCTCATTAGAGTATAATGCCAATATCGATTTCTAAAATTAACCCTACACCTGATTATTTGATTATTATTAACTCGTCGAGTATCGTCATTATTATATAGACACAATTATACAACAATAGGTTGCGGTCACCGGTGACCGCTTGGTGTTTGACAGTTTAAGGAGTAGAATTCTTTGCCCAGAGTCTGTATTTCCTGAAGCGTATACTCTGGGTGTCTTCAAGGCCCGAGACGTAACTGCTCAGTGTCGTGTCGCCGTCCCGCCGCGCCGCATTTGTTGTGTGCAGAGACCTATCTTGATGACCATTTTTTTTTTTTAAGGGGGGAAAATCATCGAATTTCTGCTCCCGCCTGGGTGAGGCGGGAGGGAGTGTCAGACTCTTACTGACTAAAAACCACCCCGTTCCTTCTCCTGCACGTCGAGCCGGAGCCCCGGTTACCCGTTAGGTTCTCCGCGACTCCGAATCGGCATCGGCCCTATTGGGCCCCATCTGTGGTGGTCTGATGGCTCTTTGAGGCGCGCGCGGAACGCGACGCGCCGTACGCTCGGGTCTGTTTCTGGTCGGACGGGGAGCCACCCATGCTCGCCGTCCGCAGGCCCGCGCTTACGGTGGCCGGAGATCGTCATCTTGATGACCATACAATATAATCTATTATTATCCACAACTACCTCCATTACCATTATGAATATGAACAAAATGGGTCGATTAATTATTATGGTTTCGGCTTAATCACGTATCTACCTGTTGTCCAGTAGCAGCGCGACAGAATGCTGCTCACGAATATGAGTCTCTAGTATGGCTTGAATCTAGTCGAGATCCTCGTCAAACAGTTACGTGAGTCAGCCTCCTCACGCCCCGGCCGTCGCCGGAGACACTCCGGGCGTAGAAAATCGCGTTGACAAAGTAGGTACGTAAGTGCGGGTCTGCGAACGGCGAACAAGGGTAACTCGCCGCCCGACCAGGGTGCTTACTCTTGAAACCAATCTCAATGTCAATGCAATTTCAATCCAATAAAATCTCAATAATTATTCAATGTCAAAACTATACAACCACAATCGTAGCTGTTGAAACAGCATTCAGAGTACGGAATATAAAGCCAAACTCAATAACATTTAGTTCATTAAACATTCACGCAATACGGATGCAATGGGTGCTAGTGTTGCAACTCGAGAGTACAAAATTTCACAATACCAATGTCGATCGATCGGAATTGGATTCAAGAGTAAGCCCTCGGATCTAGTACCCTACAGCGCGTCGCGTTCCGCGCTCGTCTCAAAGAACCATCAGACCACCACAGAGTAAGGCCCAGTAAGGCTGATACCCGGAGCCGCGGAAGACCTAACGGATTGCCAAGGTTCCGGCTCAAAGAGCAGGAGTATGGACGGGGTGGTTTTTAGTCAATAAGAGTGTGACACTCCCTCCCGCCTCACCCGGGCGGGAGCAGTCATTCGATGATATATAATCACTCAAAATAAATAAATCACCATATAAATGAAACTACATTTGACAGAGACCGGTCAGTATTCACATAGGTGCTATTTAAAATCATTGACTTACATTTAACAACTGGTTAGTTAAATCGTTGTGAATAGTATGTTAATGTCGGAACAGTAAAAACTAGTTCTATGCGTTTCAATCGGCACGGTAGAAAGAATTTTTATTAGCAGAGACATGGGTAATTAATGTTACAGAGACTAAAGTAGGAAATTGTGATTGTTATTTGTATCACGTGTTTTTACAATATCATTATAACTGAAATAGATAAATATGTACTGAGAATAAAGACTAGAAATAAAAATTTAATACCGTTCATCAATGACGCTTAGTCATTAGATCTTTAGGTTTATTTTTTAGACAATTCTATCGTCGTCGTCTCGTGGAGTCTAAATAGGTCAAAGGGAAAGGTACAGATTAGTGTGTCCCTACATTTGTGGGGTGGATACAAATATAATCGGAAAGCCAATTTGTAAAGAGTTATTCCGTGTAAGAATGAAATTATCAAACCCATGATGTTTAGCAGCAGACGGTTGCTCAGTCAACCTATGGTTTTACTATATCCGCTAATTCTCACAGTGATTGTTTACCGTGTTAAAATTCTCGGGCTGAAACATACCGTACAATATTATACAAGGCGTCGAACTCCAGTTTATGCGTGTTTTCTAGACCTTTCCCGTGCCTTTGACCTCGTCTCTTATGATGTCATGTGGGATAAGCTGCGGGAGAGAAAAGTTCCGGCTGAACTGTTACGTATTTTTCAGTACTGGTACTATAACCAGATAAATAATGTGAGATGGGCCGACAAGTTGTCGGTGCCGTATGGCTTAGAGTGCGGTGTAAGGCAGGGAGGAATAACCTCACCAAAACTGTTCAACCTCTATATTAACGACCTGATCGTTGAGCTCAGCAGTAAGAAAATCGGCTGTCGCATTGATGACTGCAGTATTAATAACATCAGTTATGCCGACGACATGGTGCTGCTGGGCCCAACGGTCAGGTCGCTCAGAGAGTTACTTGCGTGTTGTGAGTCCTATGCACAGACTCATGGCCTACTGTACAATGTTGCTAAGAGCGAATTCATGGTCTTTAAGGCGAGTGGTGGTAAATGTCCAGATTCCGTACCTGCAATTAGGCTTAATGGTAATGAACTAAATCGTGTTTACCAGTTCAAATACCTGGGTCATTACGTGACCGACGACCTTAGGGACCATGTAGACATTGAGCGGGAACGTAGGGCGCTGGCAGTTCGATGTAATATGCTGGCGCGCAGGTTTGCGCGTTGTAGCAAGGAGGTTAAAGTAACACTTTTTAAAGCATATTGTCAAGTGTTCTACACGTGCAGCTTGTGGGCCGGCTATACTTTGCGGACTATCAGCGCCCTGCGAGTCCAATATAATAATGGGTTCAGAATGTTGATGGGACTGCCCCGTTTCTGCAGTGCATCTGGCATGTTCGCTCAAGCACACGTTGATGACTTCCATGCCATTATCAGACAGAAGTCTGCATCGCTGCTCTGCAGGGTGCGGGCCATTTCCAACTCCATCTTGAAAACCATTGCAGGGAGGTACGATTCACCTATAATACATGGTATCGTGCGAAGATGTATTCCCAACAGTAGGCTTGTAACAATATCTCTATAGGTACTAACATAGTTTTTAAGATTTTAAATGTTTTCTTACTAACCCCTATGGATGCTTCACTTGTCCGAAATAAACGTTATTTTATTTTATTTATTTAAAATCATTAAATGACTTGGTGACGCGACAGAGAGTGTCAAACTATTACTGATTATGCACCGCCCCGTTTCTAATCCTGCTTCGTTGGCGCGGGAGCCCCGGTAAAGTCAAAATCAAAGTCAAAGTCAAAGCATTTATTTCAATTAATCCTTAATGACGCACTTTTGAAATGTCAACAATTGAATTCTCCGTCCGTCTGTCTGTCAGTGAAGCTAGGTGCTCGTTACAAAATGTAGTGTAGTGTACCCGCTAGGCCGTCTGTAGTTTTACCGATGCGGTCTCTGTCATATCATTACTCATGTCTTTAATAGAATTAATTCATCAACGCACAGTGCGCACATTACATTTTTTACTAAATATTTCTTCGATAAACTTGTATTGCAAGCATTTTAAAAGAAATGTAGATTTACTTCATTTTGCGAATTGACATGAAATACTTTCAGCTATATGCCTATCACGCCTTTTAATGCGGTAGACAGAAAGCTCAAAGACAAACTGAAAATATTTTTTTTATGGAGGCAAACGAGCAGACGGATCACCTGATGGTAAGCGATCAGCGCCGTCAATAGACACTCACAACACCGGAGGAGTCACAGCTACATTGCCGGCCTTTTAAAAAGGAATACGCTCTTTTCTTGAAGGTTTGAAGGTCGTACCGGTTCGGAAATACCGCCGACGACAGATCATTCCACAGTTTTGCTGTGCGAGGCAGAAAGCTACGTGAGAAGCACACAGTTGTGGCCTGCCAACCATCTATATATATAACTATTTATTTTGATTAGAATAATTAGACCAGGAAGGCACTTTTGAACGTCAAACAAAATGTTAAAAATGTCAGTATGTCAGTCAGTCCTCTACTGAAGCTATTTGCTCAAAGGATACTTGCTCAATTCTGGTCTCATGATCTTGCCATGCTTTGGCATTACTGTGTCAGTTCGGTCGGAGTAACAGCACGTCCAATTCCTTGGTACCAATTGCTTACCAGCAGCCGATCTGTCCGTGAAGTTGCAATCGATTTTTAACATAATATTTTTCTCACATATTGAAATATGTATCAGAGACATTGTAGAACATACTTTTTTTAAAAGAGTAACGAATGGAGTTTCTTGCTAAATCTCCATTCGAATCTACGTTTTGGAATGAGCACCTAGCTTCACTGACGGACTGAGTGACAGACTATTATTTATTTTGTATTTGTTAACGTTAAAAAAGACTTTGACTTTGAATAGATATAATTTTTAGATCGATAGTGATTTTTTAATAGAGGTTTTTCGACCGACATCAATAATGATGTCGGTCGAAAAACTGCGAGGCTAAATTTTTGAACCACGCGAACTTACCATCTGGTCTCCACTTGAAATCATATGTATATTTGTAATGACAAACGCCTTTAGCAATCGGACGACTATAAATAAAAATTCGTTGCCACACAAGTATTGAAGATTTATCAATAGGAACGGGAATTTATAATTATATTATACTAGCTACTTCTGCGCGGTTTCACCCGCTCTGCTCGGCTCGTAGCAACATGTTTTATAGCCTATAGCCATCCTCGATAAATGCGCTATCCAACTCAAAAAAAATTATTCAATTCGAATCAGAAGTTTCGGAGATTAGCGCATTCAAACAAACAAACAAAAACACAAAATCTTCTGCTTTATAATAATATAGCGACCCGCCCCGGCTTCGCACGGGTGCAATATGCATATATTATACATACAAACCTTCCTTAAGAATCACTCTATCTATTAAAAAAAACCGCATCAAAATCCGTTGCGTAGTTTTAAAGATCTAAGCATACATACGGACATACAGCGAAAGCGACTTTGTTTTATACTATGTATTGATTGATTAGTATAAATTTATTTTATTTATTTGTTTTTACTGACTGCCCTCGTTGGCCTAGTGGTCACAAGTGCGACTGCCGGGCAAGGGGTCTCGGGTTCGAGTCCCGGGGCGGGCAAAGCATAACTGGTTTTTTTTTTATAAATTCTCAATAGTAGCACGGAGTCTGGAATTGTGCCCGGTATATGGCAATAGGCTCACCCCCTATTACATGGGACTCTTTACATAAATTGTGAAAAGTGAGTGTTACATTGTACAGTGGCATAATGTACCTCTGCCTACCCCTTCGTTGATAAAAGGCGTGATGTTATGTTATGTGAATATAACTCGCGGCTTTGTGAGCGCAGATAATTTTCACC